TAACTCGATAGTGTAACATGTGATGACGAAATGAAATGAATTACAACCATCAACATCACCTGACACGTTCATACACCACAGGAGGTTTTGTTTAATTTCATCTTACCAACATGGCATGGACCAAAAAAAAAAAAAACGAAGAAAGAAAAATATGAAATTCTTTTTCATCATGGTTTGAATGGAAAATAAATAAATAAAATTTATCATTTTTTTTTCTCAATTTTCAAGTGGATAAACACTCAGACACTTGTATATCATCATATCACAGTGTTTTGAAAAAAAAAAAATTTTTTTTTCTCTAGCCTACAAACTGAAAATGAAAAATACAAAACTAAACAAAATAAAAATGAAAAAAAAAATGACAAATGACCATGGTAAAGCCATTTATTATTATTATATACATTTAAATGTCATCGTTACACACTTGTTTCATCATCATCAACATCGTAATGATAATATATGAATATCAGTGCATCCGATTCGATTTTTCACATTCCACAATTGTTTGTGATGATATTTAGAACGTTGCCATTTGATAGTCACATATAAATGTGTGTGTGTGTGTGTGTGTGTGTGTGTGTGTGACCAATTTGAATGTGGCCACATATTGAACAGCAACAAACATCCGTTCAAATGATCAAAATCATCATGTATTAAAATTACAGATGTATTATATAGTGAAAAAAAATGACAATTGTCATTTGTATTTATCACCTAAAAGATGGTAAAATAAAATGAAAAGATGAATGTGAGTATTATCATCATCATCATCATCATCATCATCAACAACATCTTTAATTTCATTTTCCATCATCAGATCATCAAACTGAACAAACTAAACATTTTGAATGTTATTCGATACAAACTTATTATTTTTTTTTCTCTTCATTTTAGAGACTGGCAAATATTTACCCAGGCAATTATTATTGGTTTTGTTTTGTTGTTGCTGATGATGCTTATAAATGTGAATTTATTGTACGATGAATGGAAAAAAACCGATTTATTGATCATTTGAAAAACAATCATCAATTGTTTATTCTGGTCATTGTCAATAATAATAATAATAATAGTCTCATATACAGTATTTGAGAAGAATATGATTTCAAATTTCTGGTTTCTTTCTTTTTTTTTATTCTTTTGAAAATGAAAAATGGAAATAATGTGCACTACAACAACTATGGCTACAACAGCAAAAAAAAAAAAAAAAAAGTTTTCATTTCTTTTTTTTCCTTTGATTCAACGACAACAACACTCGAATTTCCAAGAGTTTCAATCGATTATTATTATTATTATTAGAATCGATGGCCATTTATTTGAAATCATTCAACTGTGTAAAGTGAAAAAACAAAACAAAACAAAACGAAGAAAAAAGAAAAATACAACTGGCCAATATGGAAAAAACAAAATCCACAAACAATTTTCATGATATATGAAGGAAGGCAAATAAAAAACATTCGGGCCAAGTTCACACATTGATAATAACGATGATGATGATGGGTATGAAAGTCGAAAAAAAATACGGTAATAGAGAGAGAGTGATAAAAAAAACCTCAAATCCCAAGACGACATCAAATGTGAAAACAAAAAAAAAAAAAAAAAAATTGGTGCCGCATCCAATGATGAAAATGTTTGGCCATATCTTTCGATTTACACACAACAACCATCATCATCACCACCACCACCAAGGCAATGGTGTTTTTCTACCAAAAAAATTTTTTTTTTGTTATTCTGTTGGTTTTGTTTTGTTTTTCTGGTATTTTTTTTTTTTGGTCATTTTCCTTTAGCCATCAACAAAATGTCAAGATGTGTCTATATGTTTCATGAAAGAAATTGGACACATGAATGTTTTTTTTTCTATGATGAAATTCGTGTATAGAATAAAGAAATGTAGATGAAAACTAATCAAATGGAAATTGGAATTTTATAATGACAAAACAACATTCTAATTGGAATTGATTTTTTTTTTTTTTTGGTTCAGTTATTTTTTACGGAGAAATACCTTCATTTCATTGAAATTCTCTGAAATTGGTAATTGAGAAAAAAGAATCTGTTTTTTTCGTATATATTACAACTGTAATTCAGTAGCGATAAATTGAAATTTTTTTTCTCTCTCTCTCAATCTCATTCAATCAGTAGTATGAGAACATCATCGGTTTTGTTTATTATAAAAAAAAACATTCATGTTTGAAATAACAAACAAAAAACATTCATATAATATGTTCAATGTTCCTAAGGGTCCTATGGTTCGACATATACATACATACATACAACGACATACACGCACACCCGAAAAATATGTTCATTTATCATTATTTTCGCTATCTTTCCCTGGTTTTTACTCATCATCATCATCATCATCATCATCCCACAAACACAGCAAATATTCTGGGATTCTGTATAAGATATATCTATCTGGGTTAATATAATGGCAAAAATGAAAGTTGGATTTTTTTTCTCTTTCTCTCTCTCTCTCAAGTCGATGTTATTTATTATTTATTATTACCATCTTTTTTTTTGTTATATGGAGAAGAGTACAGAAAATATGTATACCTTTCTTTTCTGTTGTTGTTGTTGTTGTTAATACTTTTTTTTCGTTCATTCACTTGGTTATTCAGATTCTCTGGTTTTTTTTCTACACTAGTACTGTACACATACAGAATATATATATTCTGTACTTGATTCTGGGATTTTATTCTTTTTCATTTATTTATTACGAGATATGATGCTTATGTTCATGGTTCACTTTGTTTTTTTCAGAATTGATTGAAAAAAAGTTTAATTTAGATTTTTTTTACATTCAAATCGAAATAACATGAAGAATGAAAACAAAAAAAAAATTTCATTCGATGTCAACCACAAAATGAAATTCACAAAGGACTAGAACAAAACAAAACAAAAAAAATCAGTCAAACAAAAATTCTTGTTATTCGTTGCTGTACAACAACAACAACAACAACAACAAAAAACAACGGTATTATATTAAATAAAACATGATGATTATAAATTTTGATCATTGAATATTGAATGAATTCCAGAACAACCAAAAAAAAAACACGGAATCAGAATATTTTCTCAAACAACAACAAAAAGAATCTACACCGGAGCCATTTTGTTTTAAAAAATAAAAAAAAAAAAAAACAAAACACAAAAAATTCCATACGGATGCTTGTTGTTGAATTGATTCGATTCCATGGTACTCAGAAAGAGAAAAAAACTCAAACTTTTCAATTTTCTTCTCCATTTTTTTTTTTTGGTTCATTCATTTTATTTTTTTTGTTGTTGATATTCTTACAGAATTTAAAATGTACATTACATTGTGAATTCTGAACGAAAAAAAAATTCAGCTAATCCAATACTACTGATGTATCCTAAGGGCTTTTTATTGCAATTATTACTGGAGAGAGAGAAAGAGAGAGAGCGGAACAACAAAAAATCATTTCGAAATTATTCAGTCTATACCCAAATACACATAGTCGAGTGTCATTCAAACTTTTTTTTTTCTTCTACAACAACAACAAAAAAAAAAGAAAGAAAAATTTTTTCAAATTAACCAATATATTAGATACATACAAATTGATTGGAAATGAACTCGACTTCATTCATTCATTCATTTATTAATAATGTAATCCAAAGCATTCTCTTGTGTGTGTGTGTGTGTGTGAATACTCTTGATTTTTCATTATTATCAACAATAAAGTTTGGTATTTTTTCTCTCTCTCTCTCTCTCTCTGCTGTTTGTAAATGAATATGAATTGGTTTTTTTTTTTATTTTTTTTTTTGCTCTCTATCTCTATCTCTCTGGTTAGCTCAACGATATTATATAATACATGGAATTTTATTCATTCTATTGTGTGTGTGTTTGTGTTTATGTCATTTATATACAGAAAAAGAGACATAAACAGTATAAAATAACAATGGAAAATGGAAAAAAAAATCATATAAAATGAAAATGAAAACCATTGAATCAACCATGTATGTGTGTGTGTGTGTGTGTGTGTGTGTATCAAACTAGAAATGAGCAAATATTGCCAGTTTTATGACTATAGGGATTATTTATAATATTCATATATGATACAACGTACACACACACACACACATACAAATACCCGAAAAAAAACGGTTCCCGAAAAAAAATAACGAGAGAGAAAAAGAAAATAATGGTGTTGATGTCCATTTTTTATACATGATCTACATGGAACCTGGTTGTCCTGGGTTTTTTTTTTTTTTTTGATTTTTTTTATTCTTCTTCATATTTTCATTTATTTTTATGCATGAAATAAAATTGAAACAACACAGAAAAAAAAAAAAAAATAAAAAATAAAATTACTCTGTCACTTTGTCCACACACACACATGGCCAATCCAAACATTCTTTCACTTCAGTTTGATTTACAAAAAAAAAAAAAAAAAAAAAAAATGTTATATAACCGTAAATAACGTCGTATCTAAAACATTACATTACATATAACACGCTACATACACGTTAGGTCAAATTGTTTGTAGATAACTTGAATATTTTTTTTCTATTCTATTCTGTTTGTTTGTTTCTCTCCATCATTCTCATCATATCTCTGAATATTCTAGGCTTTAGGTAATAAAAATAATAATAAAGAAATCATAACCCATTTAGATAAAGCCAATGGAATATTCACAAAAAAAAAAATTTTTTTTTTGCATGATAATAATGAGAAAGAACAAAAAAAAATTCTTTTACTTTTCTCTGAATTCTACTGCATTATTCCAGCGAATTGTTTCTCGCTCTCTCTCTCTCTCACATTCACTCCACTGTGTAATATTTAAATTAGCTTTAAATTTTATATAATATGTGAAAAACAAAAAGTTAAAATGAATATTCTTTGTTGGCCATTATGGCTGTTATATTATGCGAAAAAAAAGTCAGAAAAACAAAAAATTCAAAATGTTCAATAACGAATATTGATTAAGCAAAACTTTTTACGATTTTATCGAAAAAAATAAACAAATAAATATTTTGAAAATTACCTTTTTTGACCAATTGTCCAAAATGTTGGGATTGATTGATTTTTATAGCCATAAATCTGTTTGTTTGTTTGTTTGTTTTCAGTTTTTTTTCAACTCAATCAACAAAATGTTCAAAATTCAGCTGGTAAACACACATTTTAATTCGTTAATCCATTATATAAAATAAAACAAATGACAACAATAGTGTTGATGAACTGTTAAACACCTACACTAATGACACCTACACACACACAGAGAAAAAAAATTATTTCATTTGTTTGATCAAATCAAATCAATCGTTTAATCAATCAATCAATCAATGAAAATGAAATCATATTACACAAAGATCAAATTATTATTGTTGCTCAAATGCCATGTTGATCGAATGATGATGAATGTAGGATGAAATAAAAAATGTTGCTGTTCACTTGGAACCTACAAGTTGTTATATGAAAAAACGCCAAAAAAAAACAACACAAGAAAATACTGTATAGAAATTCGTTAAAGTTTTCTTCTGCTTATTCTTCGGTTTTTTTTTTTTGCACAAACGCAAAGTCTTGGAAATTGAACACTGATAAAACAGCAATAAAAATTTTTTGCTTGTCATTTGTGTGTGTGTATGGGATCTGGGAACTTGATCGAATCAATGTTTGATGTGAACTGATGCTTGCTGTGAAAAGCTGTTCAATGTCTGAATTTGAAAACATAGCACAGCAGAGGATTTTTTTTTGTTTTGTTTTCATCATTCAATATATATATAATAACTGTGTGTATACACAAATAATAATCGAAATGAAAATCGTAAGCGCTGGCGCATCCAAAAAAAAAAAAAAAAACAGAAGACGACTGACGACGTCGACGTCAACGATGATTCAAAAACACTGAATGAATATATCCCTTGTGAATTTTTTTGCTTCCTTTCCTACTTTTTTTTTCTACGTATGAATTGAAATTATTATGTGACACATTGTGTGTGTGTGTAGTGATAAATAAAGGTAGAGGCATTCAAGTTGTATTCGCTACCACCACCACCACCACCACCACCAACATCAACATCATCGGATGGATCCAAATCGGGTATTTCATTGGCTGTTTTTTTTCGTATATACTTTATTGGAACAATTTCTTTTTTTTTTCATTGGTTTCTACAGTTGTTTATAATAATGTTTGTTTGTTGAACGTACCGTAGAGAGAGAGAGAGAGAGAAAAAATGTTTGTATTATACAGCCGTTTCACTGTTACCGATTTTCATTTTTGGACTTGTCCCACGAATGTGTGTGTGTGTGTGTTGTTGTTGTTGTTGTTGTTGTTGAATTATTATTATTAGTTATACGATTGGGTATTAGTATTAGTAATTTTTGTTTGTCAGTATTTTCTCCCTTATTCGTTCGACTGGCTTCATCAGAAAGTAAAAAAAAAGAAAATTTATAACGATAAAATGAGAAAAAATTCCATCCAGGTTTGTTGCTGTTTTGTGCCAGTCAGAATTAAAAAAAAGTCAGTCAGAATTGAAGAAGAAGACGAAAAAAACACTGAAATCGACCCTTCTGAATTCTGTAGATTCAGTGTGTGTGTGTGTGTGTTCGTAGTCGGTCACCACAACAACTACAGGTTTTTCAACCATAGGTGGGTATGTAATATTGAGATGAGACAATTATTTCTTTGGTTTATCAAAAAAAAAGAGAAAAAAAATTCTTTTCTCAATTTCTTTTTCATTATTATTTCTATTTGGATGTTTTTATTCTATACGGTTGATTCTATTCATCTATATAAAAATAAATAAATAAATAAAACTAAAAGGAATTCTGTCTAAAAGTGAAAATGGAAAATGGAAAATAGGAATAAATTTCAGGTGTTTGAAGATTGGTTTGTTTTTGTTGTGTGTTCCATAGTTGTGTGTGTGTGTGTGTGTGTGTTATCCATCTTGTGGTTGTACACAACTTTATTATTATCATCATCATCATCATTATCATTATATTAGATTGATAGTAAGTGTTTTGGTGAGAATCAATTTCCATCCATTATTAAGAATTTTTCTTCTTCTTTTTGCCATCATCATCATCATCATCATCATTATTATTATGATTCTTCAAATGACAATGGTTAGATTTTCATTTACTGTTGTTATTCTCATCGTAAATTCAATTGATTTTTTTTTTTTTTTTTTTTTGGAATACATTTATTTTCCATTTTCCAACAACAAAAAGCTAAATGATAATTGAATCTGTTTGTTTGTGTTTCTTTCTTTTTTTTCTCTCTTTCTGGATATAATTGATTGATCGATATACAGTGGATGGAAAGAAAATGTGCCAAAAAATTTATCATTAATTCAAAATAATCTCTCTGTATTATGTATTGAGATTGTTGCAAAAAAAAAAGAATAAGATTCAAGATTCTGGTTTGATGATGAATTTATATTGTGACTAATTATGTTATGATCATCATCATGTAATTATTATCATATATATATATATGTGAATGTAAATCATATTAATTACCTGTCAAATATTCATCATAAACATACACGAAATTTCCTTTTGCCATATCAAACCCAAACCAAAGAAAAAAATAAATTAAAAGAATAAAACTTTGTCATTTAGTCATTTATTCAGTGTGTTTTCAAAGCCGATTTTGATTGTTTGATTCATGACTTGTGTTGCTATATACAGTATATGAGCATAATAGGCTTGATGATTAATTACTTTCAAGCTTCAAATGGCAACAAGGTGATGATGATGATGATAATAACTGGGGTTGGTATTGGTATTGGTACTGGTGATGATGATGATGATGATGGTTTTTTTTCTGGTTCGGTTCTATAACTATGTTCTTATGTTTTTTTTTTATTTCATTATTGGGAGGTCTTTATTATTGTTAAATGTATTAGAAGATTTTTTTTTTTTGGCTTCATTCAATAACCACAACACATCAAACACATAATAACCGGCCCATCCGTTTCAATTTCAATTTTTCCTATTGTCATTGGATTATGATTCGTGAACAAAAAAACAAACTACGAATGATAATAATAAATTTCCGATTGTAAAATTGTAATTTTTTATTATTATTTTCATTGTTGTTGTTGTTGTTGTTGTTGTTGGTTTGGATGGAACATCAACAACAACAACAACAACAATGAAAAAGTAAACATATATATCCAGAAGCTCGTGTTTAATATTTTTGTTTTTTTTTTTTTGGTGATGAATAAAAAACACACACACACACACAACTTACTATGCACTACTACTACTAGTACTGATTAATGAATGATATTCTACCCAACCTTGTGATACACCAAAACACAAACACACACACACGAGACAGACGTCGGCACGCGTTACCTTTGACCTTGGAACATTGTTGGTTTTTGTTTATTATTTATTCAACTACAATTGATGGATATTTTTTTTTTTGAAAAAAAACACATTGAACATTTGTAAAAAGAGAGGGAAAAAGAATGGATGGATGAAATAATGATTAAACTTAATCACACACACACACACACACACCCATACGCAGACAAAAACATTGAGTCATTGATTGAAAAAAACAACGTACAACTTTTAACGAACAAAAGAAAAGAAGGGGATGGAGACCACCGGGATCACATTACCAGAAATCAATTGGATATGCTCATATATCGATATATATATACAATAACAATCTCTATTTTGTCATTGTTTAATTTCGATTCTTCCTGGTTTTTGTTTTCATTTTTTTCTTCATTCGATCAATGAAAATGAAATTATATTTTATGTATAGAATATAATTTAATCAGAATTTACAAAGTTCAAATGACAATTGAAAATTTTTCATTACTACACCCACATGAAGAGAAAGAGAAAATTTTTTTTTGATAATCAAAGAATATAAAAAAAAAGTTTTCAGAAAAAAAAGACCAGGGCCACCCAATCAAAATCAAATTTTCTGCCCATCACACACACACACACACACACACACACTCAAACATATATGTGATACATTAAAGTTGAAGAATTCAAAGTTTTTTTCTCATTCCTTTTTTTTCGTATATGATGATGATCATATAATGTTACATTAGTTGGTTATTTTCTAGTTGAAAGAATTTCAAATATTTTCTCCATCCAATTGTATACACATGATTCTGGTATTTACATGCACACAGAAACACTAAATACCAAATACCAAAATATGAAATGGAAATATTTTCATCAAGAAAATATTCCCAAGAGTCAAAGTAACAAAACAAAACAAAAAAACAGACAGGTGTGGACAAATAGAATTCATTCTTATTTAATGATAATTTTTCACTTTACTTCAATAGTGTTGATTACCTTACAATTTATTATTCTATTAATGCAAATGAAAAGGCAAAAAAATTGTAAAACAATTCAATGCCGGTGATGAATTTTATTCTTTTTTTTCCTATTTCATTTTGTTTTGTTTCATTCATTCATTCATTCGATTTATTTTATTTGTTTTTGTTTGACAGAAATCTTATGGGGATATTCTTACTGATTATTATTAGAATAGATTCCAAATAGAATATTTGAACAGCCATATAATACTGATGAAATTGACTTGAATAAAATCTACTCTCCATTTTTTTTCTTCTTCTTCTCCCATCATCATCATCATCACAGTGTTAGTATCTCTCTCTCTCTCCTCTCTGTTTCTCAATTCAATATTGGATGAGAAAAAAGACAGAATCCACGAATTGTATCCATCCATCCATCCATCCATCTCTCTTTGTGGGCCATCTCTCTCTCTCTCTCTCTGTGTGTGTGTGTGTGTGTATACGGTTTTTTTTCACCATGTAATGGAATTAATAATGGCAAATATCTAACAAACGAAAAGTAAGAAAGTAAATGGAACCAACGTTTACATCATAAACATACACACACACACACACACACACACACACACACACACACACACACATACCGAGAAAGATAGAAAGTTATTGCATCTGAATGAAACCAAAACGAAAAAAAAACTATGGCTATGCTTACAGCAATAGCCATAGAATCCATTTTGGAATTTGCGTGTATGTCTTGGTTTTTTTTTTTTCGTTAGTTAGTTTGTTTATGATGGTGGATCATCAAATTAACAAAATATCCAAGCAAAAAAAAAACATCCACCCATCAAGGGGCGTTCCATAATCCTGGTAAAAAAAATCAATCTAACCAAAAAAAAAAAGAAAAGTAAATGAATAAATGAAAAAGAAATTTACTCAATAAATGAAAAAAAACATTGAAAACATGGAACAAGAAGTAAAAACAACAACAACAACAACTACCCGGTTCCAAAATATTTCGAAAACAAATACAAAACCAAAGACAAGACTTAAAACTATATATAGATGTAGATAGATATATTCCTTAGAAATAGATGTAGAATCGAAAATGGAATGAAGAAAAGTAGTTAAGAAGATTATGCCATCTAGATAAGTTGATTAAGTTTTTTTTTCTCCTTTCTCATCATCATCAACAACATCATTTCATCAACAACGACATCATCTTCAAATTCTAGTTCTAAGCATTTGGGGTATTGACAAAAAAAAAAAAAAAAAAAATTTTCTTTTTCCCTTTTTGTACAAAGTCGTAAATGTAATGTAATGGCAATTGATAAAATGTGAAGTGAAAAAAAATCGGAAGTGCGTGCATTTGTTTTCTATGTGTGTGTGTGTGTGTGTGATTTATATTTGTTTTTGCTTCGATGCATTCCATGTTGCCTTAATTGTAAGATTTGATTTACTTTTTTTTTGCTTTCGTATTTTTCTCTCTCTCTCACTCACTCACTCACATTCGTCTTATTTATCACCAAAGATAAATAAGAAAAAAAAGTAAATTCTTTTAGTGGATGATGATGAAAAAGATGATGAACATTGGTTGGTTGGTTGTTTTTTTTTTTTTTATTTTGGAACACATAAGAAAACATTTCATCTGGTTGACAAATATAAATATAAAAAGACAAAATGAATTTTTTTTCATCATCATCATCATCATCATCTCCTGGTTGATGGAATTGATTTGGCGTTGTTTATTCGTGCGTGCGGGGGTGGCGGTGTTGTTGGTGGTGGTGGTGATAGTTGGGTTATCAAAAAAAGGTAAAAAAACTAATTGCAAGATTGCCATTTTTTTCTGTTATCTGATTTTCTTTTGGAAGAGATAGAGAAATGGAAAAAAATATTAACCATTTTCATGTTCAAACAAAATCTCTCTCTCTCTCTCTCTACAAGTCCAAATGGTAATTTCATTTCATTTCATTTCATTTTTTTTAACAACGAATTTTATTTTTCCATTTCCATTGAATTTTTTATTCAGATTGTCAATGTTTTTAACATCAAAGAAAAAATTATTGTAAAGGGAAAAAAACTTGAGAAAGAATCAAAAAAGAAAAAACATCATTAATGTCGATGATTTCAATGATGAAATGTGATTATTTCATTTTCATTTTCATCGGCCCACGCATATATTTGATAATAATTTGTGTGTGTGTGTGTTGTGTGAATTTTAAAGATGTTTCAAATAAGATTATCAAAAGTATTTAGTGTGTGTGTGTGTGTGTGTGTGTGTGTGTGTGTGTAAAAATCATTCAAAAGTCATAAATAAATTTTGAAATTTTTTTTCTTTCTCTTATTCAAACAGAACAGATTTATGTGAAATGAATTTTTTTCGTTTCAATTTTCAATTAGTTTTTTAAAAATCATAAAATTCATTCACTAGAAAATGATTGGACAAACCGTTGGTACCCATACACATAATTCACATATACTTATTTCGATTGCATATGGTCGACACCATTGATATTCAAAATATTCATATTCATATGCAAAACCAGGTATTATTGGTAATGGTGAAATTATTGGTGGTGCCACAAATGGTGGTGCTATAAATGGTGGTAGAAATTGTCGTCCATCCAATTGTTCATCACCAAATTCATTATAATATGGTTCATTAACATTGTTGTTGATCATATCGATCGCATTGGATGGATATTGTTGTTGTTGTGGTTCTTGTCGATATTCTGGCCTATTATTATCATTACTTACAGGAATTGTTTCATTTAATTCAACAAGACTATTTTTTGTACGTTGTAAACGGAATATAGTACGACCATTACGACGAATGATTTTATCATTTGTATTATTTACTGGATAAATTTGTATGGTTTCCATATGATTACCGTTTGGTGCACATTCATTCGGTATTAATAAACGACTAGATGAAATAACCGTAGCATTACATTGTGTATGATGTTGTTGTTGTGACCGATGTTCATTGGTGGTTGATGTTGGTGAAGATAATTTTTCCACCAATATTTTGTGAACATCTGAACGAATATGTGGGCGTCTATGATTACTATTAGGGATCATAATCGGACGATGTTGTTGTGGTCGATATCGGTGGTGGTGATAATCTTGATTCATAGATTGTGCTAAAATTGTATGATAATCATCATCAGCAGCGGGAAATTTATTATTCGGATACATTTGTATCAATTGAATAATGAATATGTTGAGAAAACATATGATACATGTCATGTAGTAAACACTTGTTGTTGCCATCATGTTGTTTTTGATTGATGTTTGGAAATTAATTTTTTTTTCTAGTTTAGTTTAGTTTGTCGGAAAATTACAGAAAAAAAAAGATTTTTCTTTTTCTAATTAAATCGGTGATTTATTTCACTATTGATTATCATGCCAAATGACTGTGATGCTACCAGGTATTTATACCAAGCAACAAAAAAAATGTGAAAGATTTTTATTCTGTGATGATTTCAATATCTAGTCAAGATGAGAAATTGAATTTGAAAGCTTACACACACACACACACACAGGTGTATACAACAACAACAACAACGACGACGACGACGACACATTATCCAAAACGAGTGCAATAAATATTCAATTTTTTGGTGCAAAAAAATCAAAGTGAAAAAAAAGCAGATTTTTAATTTTTCTGGTTAACAGACCTTGAGGGCGAAAAGAAAAAAAATTTTTTTTCTCTGTTTTTTTGCTACATTTCTTTCTGGTTACATTTTGATTTAGCAATATAGCATCATCCAAACAGACAAAAATATTTCATGCCATCAAAAAAAAAATGACTACCACATTTTTTTTACGAATGAATTTCAATGACTTTCAATGAATTTGACAAAATTGAAATTTTGAAATTTATTTCACAAATATCGTACCTGTCAAAAATCCATACCTATCGATATATTGATTTCATTTTTCATGGATACATACGTTGTGTGTGTGTGTGTGTTGCAACCAAAGAAGACGAATAGTGAACGAAAAAAAAAATTCAATTTTTCATTTTCACATTGGAATTGAATTTTTTCAAAACAAAACAACAAACATAATCAATCAATCAATCAATCAATTAACGTTATCTATCATTGTTGGCATTAACATTTATCGGAAATTTTTTTTTTGCTCTATACAGAGAATGAAATAGAAAGAAAAGGAAAATAAAAAACAATTTTTCGTTCTCTTGCCTCAAGAATGAAACGAAATTGTCTATTTTTTTTGAACAAACAAGTGTGTGTGTGATGTGTCAGGATAATTTCCGATAATCAATCGAAACCCACTCGACCGATACACACACACACACACACATTTGATGATGATCCAACAATAAATAGACGACGACAACAACAACAACAACAGCTCAAACCCTCGGGACTTTATCTCATATCATCATTCCAGTGAAGAAAAAAAACATAATAATAAAAATTGATCATCAAAATCGATGAAAATGTAGTGGTGAGCAGAGAGAGAGAGAGAGAAAATAAGAAGAGGGGGTGTTGGAATAATTTTTCTTCCCAAATATATTGCTTTGACCACAAATAAAAAAAAACGTGGAAATTGATGATGAAAATGATTCGTCATCATCAATGAATGAATGAATGAATGAATGAGTGAGTGGAAAGAAAAGAAAAAAAACACAAGTTCAAAAAAAACCGTCAAAGTTTCTATCATCATCATAATCATAAAACGTGTCCACATGAAAAAATGAAATGAAATAAAAAAAAATTTCCAAGCTAGTCATGATGGATTTGGATGTTTTATTTTTTCATTTTCATTTTTTAGATCCAAAAATCCATATCAAACTAGAATTTATTCGTTTTTTTTTCATTGGAACAACAACAACAACAACAACAACTACAAAGCCAGCGAAAAAGCAATTATTTTTTTTTCATTTTATAAATTCTCTCTCTCTCACACACACACACATTAATTTGACCAAAAAAAATAACCATCGTTGGTCGATGAACAACAGCAGCAGCAGCAGATAAAAATTATTGACTTGGCTCGACAATATTTTGTGGATGCTGTGTAGAATATAACTTTTTTCCTGGAAAAAAAATTTTTTCATCAACAACAGCGAAAACAGAGAAGAACAAAAGCGAAAAGAATTGTGGAAAAAAACCAAAAAAAAAAAAAAAAAAAAAAAAATAAAAATTCTTGTTGACACAGAGCAAGAATTTAGTGCTGAATAATAATAAGCGAATTCAAATGGTATCATCGCCATCGTCATCATCATAAATTAGTAATCATCATTACTTTTATTCCACAGAATATTCTCATCGAAAATATATATGAAAAAAAGAATGAATTTGATTCACAAAATGACGACCAGCCATCAAATCATCAGTTATCGAATCACAATTTGGCTATGCTTTTCATATTATTCTGCCTGGTTCGATGTTGATTAAGTAGCTGATGATTCAGTCGGAAAAATTCTATGGAAAAAAAAAGATTCACTTTTCATGAATAGCAACAATTTTTCACACTAAAAAGTTTGCAATTTTTTCAAAATTCTATTACAAAAAAACAAACCTTGTGACCTTAAAACCAACCAACCAACAAATTATCAAACAAACAAACAAACAAACAGACCATAGGTTGTTACATGGTTTTTTTCATTCATAGCAGTTTGATTTGATCTGGTTTTTTGTTTTTTTGTTTTTACTCTGTTATTGTTGTTTTGGTGTTTGGTGTCCACACCCGAATATCTATCCAAAAAAACACCAATAACAACAACGACATTGATGATGATGATGATGATGACGATAATAATAATGATAATAAGAAAAAAAAAACTACAAAATTAGTTTGTATATACGATCAAAACGTGTATAATAATAATGTATATAAATATATGAATCATGTGGCTGTATTATTACAAATATACATGAAAAAAACATGAAATTTTTTTTTGATGACGATCATCATCATCATCTTGTTTTTTATGTGTTTACTATATTTCTATATTATTATTATTGTTGTTGTCGTTGTTGTTGTTGTCGTTGTTGTTGTTGTTGTTGTTGTTGTTGTTATAAAATCAATTATTCATTGCTTCCTTTATCGTTTTGTGTGTTACTGATAGTTGTGTGGTGATTATAATATTATATTATAACATAACATTTATATATATAATACACATTTGTGACTGATGATTGGATATAAAAAAAAGTAGTTGCCAGATAGATAGATAGATAGATAGATAGGTAGTTAGTCTGTAATAATGATGACGTCCATATTATTATCATCATCATCATCATACAATCATCGACCAAAAAATGAAAAAAAAAATTCCCATTATAAATCGAACCAGTGTGTGTATTCTAAATTCTGTTATATATTCTATTAGTAATGATAAAAGTTATTTTTTTTATATTAATCCTATGAATCTTAATATATTTCAATGGATTGAGTGAATTGAGGGGGTTAAATAATAGTGATAATAATGGCAACAGAATATTTTTCTTTGGAATTTCTTTTTCTTCTTCTTTTTTTGGTTTTATTTCCAGGAATTTTTTTTTTACTTCACTCTACTTCTCTTTTGAGATTCATTCATGATAATGATCACCATTATTTTGATAATGGCCATAATCATTGTTTTAATCGTTTGTTGTTGTTGTTGTTGTTGTTGTCGTTATTTTCTAATATGGAATATCATCATAAATGACAACGACGACAACAAACAAACAAACAAACGACAATCGATTAAAAAAAACAAAAACAAAAAAACAACAACATTCAATAGACAATGGCCGATAATAATTTAAAAGTAAAGAATTAAGAATTAGAAAAAGAATGAGTAAGAAATTCATGCAATAATGATGATGATGATGACACAATTCATTCATTCAAGCGAAAAAGTGTTACAATATTTACACACTTACAGACAAACATAGGGAACCATAATTGACTTTTTTCTTTTTTTTCTCTCTTTGTATGTATTCAAAGGGGTTAAAATAACAATAATAAAAAAAAACAAAACAAAAAACAACAAAAGTAACCATAATGACAGTGTGTTTTACTACTACTACTACTACTACTACTGCTACTACTACTACTACTACTAGATATTAGTTAACCCTTAATATTGCTCATATTTATCATTTTTCTTTTATATTTTTTTTCATTTTTTTTTGGTTAATTCTGGTTCATAATCACCATCGTGGATCTATCTAAAAAAAATGAAAAAAAACTGGCATTTTTTTGTGTTTTATTTTTACTTCATTTCACTATCATCATCATCATCATCATCATCATAATCATAGTATCAAGTGTAATTATGATTATTAAACCTAATTATGGCAAAAAAAACTCTCACTTTCACTCTCGGTTTTTTTTTGTTTTTGATTAGAATTATACAAACTATATATACGATACGATATAATATTTTATGAATGAATGAATGAATGAAGTGTACATTTTAAATAGTCAAAAAAAAAAAAAGAAAAGAAAAGCAAAAAGTTTTCATAAATACATCAGCTTGTATGATCGTGAAACAAAATATTTCCCAGCAGCAGCAGCAGCAGCCATCATACCAGCAACAGAATCAAAGATAAAATTTTTTTTTGTATCAAATGATATCATCATCATCACTAGATTATTAAAAAAAAGTGAATAAAAAAGCGGGAAAGTAATCATGGGTATATATTGGAATAATTTCATTTTTGCTACAATCCACGATTCAAATAAAAAAAAGCATTGAACAACAACAACAACAACAACAACGCTGGACAGGTAACGCCATCTTTTCGTTATGATAAAATTTTTTGAATGTATAAATTCAATGTGAAAAGAAAACATTTTCAAATTACAAAAGACGACGACGATTATGATGATGATGATGATAATTTTAAAGAATGGACGAAATTCTTTTTTTTTCTCACACACACACACACAGTCCACAGAATTTTTTTTTGCTCCATTTTTTTTCTTTCTTGGTCATTAATTTAATTTCTTTTCATATACACGTTGTATACTTGTTTTTATGAAAAATGAAAAAAAAATTTTTTTTTTCAGGCAAAATTAACAAGAAAAACGACGACTACGATGAACAACAATAATGATGATGATGATGATGGCGATGGCACACACACACACACACACGCATTACAAAAAAACTATGGATGCGTATGATTATGTTGAATGTTTTTTTTGTTTGCCGAGAATCTAAGGTCTCATTCCAACTGGGAACAAAATACGATATGGTTATCACAACAACAACAACAACAACAACAGTCCTAGATGATGATAATAATGAACATAACGGTTTTTTTGGGCTTGACTTAATTTCCATTTCTACCCCGTATCATATTTATCTTTTTGTTTCGTTTGCTTTAAAATCAGTTAACTTTTTTTTTTTTTTTTTTTAGAAAAGGCAAGATTTTTTTTTTCGTC